AGGTCTAGTCGATTATCCATTGTTCATAGGTTTTATTTTACAAACTCTGACATCACGAATTTTCTGGCTGGGATATGTAGATGAACCACCATTCTCAATCGTAAAGATAAAGTAAACATAATACACCTTGGTTTCTCGAAAGCTTTTGATATGGCCGACCATATTTGTTTCATCAATAAGCTCAAACAGATGGGTTCCCAGTCACCACTGACTGATCGTTTAACTAAATAACTAATTATCGGTTCTCCAATATCCATGCAAACTACCCATTTTCTCAGATAACATAGTTCCCCAGTGTAGTCCCACAGAGTTCAAAGCAAAATCTAATGCATTTTTATTTACATAGATGACCTTGTTCATCGAATACATTCAAGTGTATAGCCTACAACTACTGACGTTGAGATTTGTAAAAATATAATTAGCGACCAAGAATACAGGTCAGCACTTCAGAAGGACTTGACTGAACTCTCATTTGAGTGGACAACAGTGGATCAACATTCATCTCTCCAAAGTTTGAAACAATCCGTTGCAAGCTATACACACTATGTGATTTCGGCGTATTAGCGTCATTAGTCATAAAATCCCTCAGTGTCCTAGTACTGCATGATGTAAACTTTTGTGATAAATGTAAAAGCATCTCTCACGCCAAGCCTTATGCTAATAACTTTGGATAGGATTATTGACTTGTCTAATAGCAAAAGCTTTCCACGTGAAATTTTATTGAACCCATTCTTAGTATGGGAATACGGCATTTCCACAATTACTTCAAGAGAGTGAGAATATATAGTTGTGTTAATCCTAACTACATGATCATCGAAGCTGAACATGAGACAAATGAGGAAATTTATATCAAAAGTTTAACACAATTAGGTCAGAAATGGTAAGGTGATCAAAATGGCATGGCTCGACCATGCATACGTGGTCACTCTAGCTTTTGTATTGAATATGTTACTCTCTTTCCAGCCCAAAAGTGTGCTTCGGAAGAGCTAGACGACATGTTGCCGATTTTCATAATAAGACGAGGCAGTGTAGGCCATGATGTGACTTCCACGCCAAGTCTTATAGATGAGATAGTCTCATCATGACAAGTCTTTAATTTTGGGATCAGGTCTATTATTGTAGTAGCAAACATAAATGTACTGATATCGCACTAGATCATAAGTCAACAAATATTCACAGTGTATCCCAAGGTAGGTCACGAAATCACATCGTCAAATTAAGTTCAAGTCTTATGAGAAGCCCCTCAAATAACTAGATCTCTTTATTTAAGAAAACAGCAAACTTGGAAACTACTTTTTAATGACACACAGAATCCTGAACTCTCTTCATCATCCTCTAGAATGCCTGATTAGTTGGCTAAAATTACACAACAGACGTTTTTGAATTTTCGCCCGCCACATTAGACAAAATACAAATATTTTAAAGTGAATGTTAGCATCCAAGAGAATTCAACAATCTCAATAAGACATTGTATGAACTATTTGCCTCTTTACCATTTAACAGTTATTCTTTCAAATGACACAACTATGCTTATTTACACTACATTTACCTAGTTGTGTTTTTGAATACGTCGTTGGTTTTCCATCATAGAGTGTTTACTTGACCTTACATTCTCAAGCTCTGATCGTCGTGAAACGTTTATTTATTGTCTAAAAATTGCCCGGGATTTTTATTACTGAATTTCAAGTTACTGTCTTGATTGACTCTCGTTCCAACAATAAAGCTTGCTAATGCATGTCGGAAATTGTTCTTTCATACTTTTTTCAATGGACAGACTTTGTTTCCGCTTTCTCTTTAGTTCATGGGTGCTATCCGTATAGGAAACAAAACTTTCAAGGACTTTTAATCTCTTCAGTCTCATTTAAGTAAACACTTCAACCTGTTTAAAGGTTATCAGTTAATCGTGGGATGCATTTGTGATCTCAGTTTATTATAAAATCTATATGTAAGTAAACTACTGCAGACCAACCTGGAACCACCATAGTCCGTAGAATCTTAGTATTTTGTAATAAACAGTATGGTATTATATAAGCCCAGTTCTTAAGTTCAGTTCTAACACAAAGCTCAAGGGAAATGATCAAAAATTCCAGATACAACACAGTAAACCGACCTGTAGGGTCACCTAATCCTTACGAACATGAGCAGTGATTGTCTTTGAGCTTGATATAGATCCGTGAACTGTTCGACATTCCCTGATGCGGCTGCCGGATAATTTGGCTAAGGCCCAGAGACATTTATTTGACCCTACAAGTTTGTTTCGAAAGAAGTTGTCAGCATCAGATTCGGGACTACACTATACTATAACCAATTTAATGTCTTTCCCTTTGTATTTCATCCAGCAACGCACTAGTTCACCTGTCACTGAGTCGTGTGTCACTATCTACAGCTCGTACGGTTAAGGTGCTCTTCGCGTATAATATAACCAAAGCCTTAACGATTTAGTCTGCCAGTCCAACAAACTAAAACACCTGTAATTTAGCCATGTTTCTGGATTTCAACGATATCAGAGTTTTCTGTTTCCATCACCATTTAGTAGGCTGCGAATATTGGCATAGCACACCTTTAATTGGGTGAAATACTTTGCCGTTCCACCCGGTCCGTTTGGGATTGTTTTGTCCCAAACTTATACAGTATGAAAACTCTTGAGCAAAAGGATTTTCACTAGTCCAGTGGCATTCACTTATTTATATCACTACCGACTGTCTGTTAATATGTTCAACCAGGCGAAGATTTGCACGGACATACATTGCGGATCGAGTTGGTTTGCGTGGTTTCTCTAGTATTAGGTTACTTTTATTAGCGGAAGCAAAAGTAAATTTTAAGGAAAGGCTAGCTTGAATACTTTTGAAATCAAGTTCCGGTCCTACTCTGTAAAACTTATGAATCCCAACTTTTGCTATTGTTTCTAGGAGTAGCTTTTTTATGTAAAACTTAATATGGCTTGGATCGTGCTCAAACTTAAACTTTATTTCCGTTGTGGAATACACTTTTGACCCACGAAAAATGCATTACTTCTCTTCGAGATCTGTGTTGACATGCTTTGACGTTTTATTTCCTAGACTTTCCATCCCTGCAGTACGGCCGGGCGTCAAATATTCAGGTTTCACTCTTTTTTCTTAATTTTCTAGGTGCTGCTGTAAGCCGATTATTTACCCTATTTAGTTTCTGGATCAAAGCAGCTACAACGTTCAAGCGTTGCTCCTATATAATCTGTTTTACGTTGATATAGGTATCCATATGGGGTTCCGAGGCTGGATTCGTCAACTTGCATATTTTAGAGATTTCTGTAATTTGCTTCTTTTTGGGTGCTCTACCCTGATAGTTTTATCCGGATCTAAGACTAAACTCATTCTGACGCCTATTACTTCTTAGAGATTTGATAACCTCTCTCATCTTCTGTTAAGTGTTTATCTGAGGGTATTTTTCCAGTTGTGTTTAGCTGCTCAGTCACATCACTGATCAGCAGATACTTTGTAGAGCGGCGGAACAACTTGATAGAGTTTTACAACACCTCGTAAAATCAGCCAATGTGACACATCTGGCATTGGAAACTGCAGCATCCGAAGAAACACACATCCTGATCTGTATATCGTTCATTCTGCCATACCAAATGTAGCGGCTTCAATATTGACAAAACCGCCTAGTGTGTTGTTCTCACATTTGTTAAACCGAGGCCCTTACGCCTGTTACTCCCAATGGAGCATAGGACTCCGACCAGCATTCTCCAACCCACTCTATCCTCCACCTTCTTTTCTAGTTCCATCCAGTTCTTGTTCATTTTTCTCATATCTATCTCCACTTCTCGACGTAATGTATTCTTTAGTCTTCCTCTCCTCCTTCGACCTTGAGGATTCCATGTGAGGGCTTGTCTTGTGAAGCACGCAGTACGGTGCTTTCCTCAATGTGTGTCCTATCCACTGTCAGCGATTCTTCTTGATTTCTTCCTCCGCTGCAATCTGGTTTATTCTCTCCCAGAATAGGTTTTTGCTAATAGTGTCAGGCCAACGGATCCGAAGTATTTTGCGTAGACAACTGTTAATAAACACTTGTATCTTCTGGATGATGGCTTTCGTAGTTCTCCAGGTTTCCACCCGATATAATAGAACTGTCTTCACATTTGTATTTGAAATGTTGACTTTGTTGTTGGTTGACAGACAGTTGTTTTGAGTTCCAGATTTTCTTCAGCTGTAAATATACTGCTCATGCTTTGCCAATTCGCACATTCACATCTGCATCAGATCCACCATGTTCATCAATGACGCTGCTCAAATATGTAAAGGTTTTCACATCTTCCAAATCTCCTCCATCAAGGGTGATTCGAAAGTTGCATGTTGTGTTGTACCGGAGAATCTTGCTATTCCCTTTGTGTATGTTGAAACCTATTGCTGCTGCTGAGGCTGCTGCTACACTTGTCGTCTTCTCCTGCATTTGTTGTTGCGTGTGCGATAGAAGAGCCAGATCATCTTCGAAGTCTAGTTTATCCGACTGCATCCTAGATGTCCAATGTATCCCACGCTTCCCCTCAGATGTTGACGTCTTCATGATCCAGTCGATCAGGAGGAGAAAGAGAAAGGATGAGGGTTAGCAACCTTGCCTGAGACCGCCCTTTGCTATGAATGAGTTTGAGAGCCGTCCTCCATGCACGCCGTAGTGTCGGAGAGGCCCCCGCAGTGTTGTCTTGTCCACGCTATCAAATGCTTTCTCGTGATCAGTGAAGTTGATAGAGAGTGATGAATTCCATTCAACTGATTGTTCTACAATGATCCGTAGCATAGGCACGGCGTTATAAAGTTGAATTGTGGCTCACATTACACCTACTTTTAAAGCAGGCTGATGCAGAAAACCTTCAAACTACAGGCTGATAGCATTTCTCTCAATACCCCAAAAAATTATAAAGTTTTTCATACGAAACAGAGGTTAGTCGCCCAACTAATCTTATGACTGAAGACAGAAGCCACAATTATTTGAACCATTTAGATTATTTCTTAGACAGGTAGTAGCGGTCATTCTTAACTTCGCGCTACTCCTTGAGATTCAAACTTCTAGTGTCATCACTTTCCTGAGGTAATGTTTTTATTTTTATAAAATAAGGAAGACAGTTTCACCAAATCATCCTTATGGACATTACTTGCAAACCTTATAGTATACTCTTAACCACAATGTTCTAGTTGTTCTCAAAATTATACAGTAGCATTGTGAACTTGCAAATATGTTCCGTGAACAATGTTAACAATCACATGCTACAATAATTATTGTAGCATGTGATTCCCCAATGAACCAACAAAAGGAAACGCGCCAAAATATCTGCTTTTTCGCCTGTCCGAGGAAAATAATGCGGATTTCTACCTTTTTATCGCTCTACCTGTGAAATGTCGCTGAATTATCTACGTTCCGCCTTAAAATACACCGATTGGCCTACTTTTCACCTGAATTTAAACTGAATTGTCTACTTTCCGCCTAAATATACGCCGAAATGTCCATTTCTCGCCTAAGCATTGCCGAATGATTTACTTTTTGCCTAAATATACGCCGAATGGTCCACTTTGCTTCAACTTTTAAAACATCATTGACATAACCTCAAAGATCTCCTATGTTCGCCTTTGTCCTCACAACAAACCACACTTAAGCTGCAATCCACGGAAAAATGGTATATGCTTAAATAAAGAATGCTTTAAAAAATACCTACATCAAATACTAGTAACCTAATGATGTCCTTTTCTTAATTTTGACGTCTCATACATGAAATAAAACAAAACAAACTGCTTCCCAGTAAACTCGTTCTTTGGTTGGTTGCGAATTCTTCCGTGGCCTGCTTTCGGATAAAAGACCTATTAGCGATTACACCAGAACAATTACAGAAAAAAAAAATTAGTATATGAAACATATCCTTATCACTTAATATAATTTTAGGCCATCTCCCTTAGCTTTTCCCACTATATATTTCTCCGATCCACCTAACCACTTAAGAAGTCTATAGTTGATCGCGTTATTCAAGCCGACCTCCTAGTTTTTATATAAAGAATATTTAGTTATCTCTTCCTTGACTGTTAATATATGTGTAGATTTAGTTCCCTTTGGGATACGTTAGTTCATCCTTTATGACATTCTGTGGTGTTTCACTTCAGTTAACATTGCACCATACAGTTAGTGGTCAAATATTTACGAGTAACATTAATTCGAAATCTTACCAATTATATGCATAAACTCGAAATTGTACAGAGTTTCTGCTACTCAATACAGTGATCGATATTGATGGTTCCAAGTCTATACTGTAGTTGCAAACACTGACGTTCTGTATAACTCCCTTTATTACTACGGTTTATCTTAGCTATACAAAAGTATTATCAACTGAAACTATGTGATAATCCCTATCTGTACACTCTCCTTATGGTCACATTGGATAATAGGACCGAACAAGTAAAATAAACACTACACATCAACTGTTTAATTACTCTGTTGACATCTTTAAAATAAACATTTTTAAATGTTGTTTCTACCGAAAATTGCAATATTAAAATTGGCGATTAATATTTGAGTGTATCAAGTTGTATCACTAAATTCCAGAAAACATTTTCCTTTGACAAATGTTTTAAGTGCACGATATTAGTTTGAAGAACTAACTGTATTTAAGTCGATGCTACTACTCGGCTGCCTAAACTGAAGTAGATTCCGCGACCCAATGATTAAAGATCAAGTGCCGTAACGAATAAACCACTGTTTTATTCATCACGATATAATTAACTGTTTGTATGGGATGATAGTGGTTTATCAGCCATTGGGTTTATGTTCTTGCTTCACGTGTTGAAACACAATATCGCCGAAAGTAGGATCAGCAATTGATCTTTCGCAGCAACACTTCGATATTTAGTGTTTCCAACTTACTACTCGTTTTTTTTTCCAAAAAATGTAAAGTCTAACTTCCTAACCGTTTAATTTAGTAATGCCACTACCTTTGAAATCGCCACATAACAGCACGAGCCTCTTTTAATCACAATTTTGGGTAATTGCCATGGCTTAAAAATTGGCGAAATGTTCATCAGCTCAAGTTGTCACACCATGAAGAAGTGATAATTCTTGATCACATGAAAATTTGTACCTCAATTATTTAAATTTATCATAAAATTACGTTACATTTGTTTTCTAGGGATTTCATTTTTCTCTGTCAAAGAATATTTAAATTTAAGACGAAGTCATGGTTGGTGATCCAAAGATAAGCTGTTGGTCTTGAAAGCTGCTCTTTTCCGGACAGGTTCTCTAAATCTGTTGAAGATTTAATCGTTATCCTCTTAAAGTAAAAGCTCTCACTCGTGTTTACCTATGACTTGGCATGATGTTATAACTGTGGGCACCAAATACCTTCGAAGATTACATAGACTGCCGGTGATATTGCTTAAACAACCTAGATCATTCTTGGTAATTGAATATTTTGATACATAAATTCCCCCTAGCTTCCAAGATACTTTGTTCCATATCCTCGTATCAGTCCAAATTTCGGACGGTTAACCAAATATATTGGCAATCATTCACAAACCAACTCATTGGTTAGAGCAGTATATAGAAAGATTATTAGTAGTAGTACTCAACAACGACCAAACTCATTACTAAGGGTATATAGAGGCTTTGCTGGATCCGTTCAATTGAGGCATTACGTGTCTAACAGACATGAGTAAGTATACTTACTGCTAAGAATGTATTCATATGGTAAGAAGCATGGTTTCTTCTCATTCATTGTTTTTGTATTAAATTTATTACATTCCATATCCGTGTTATATTAAATTGTGATTATCTGATTACTTTGGTGCGTACAAAGTTTGTAGATGTAAAATAGTTCTCCATACTCTGCTTTTGGTTACATTTAGATCAAAAATGACTAGTTAGGATAGTTTGTAATAATAGATTAGTGCACTGCTGGAATTTGTCACACTTCAATACGAAGAAGGAAACACTAGTACTGGTGTAATAAAAGTCATAAAACTACATAAAGGAAGGACTAGAGAAAAAATGAACGTAACTTTGTATGTCAATTACTCATACCAAATCCGTCTACGTCATTTTTGTGTCGCTAACCAGGTAGTACAAGTTTGTGTACTAGTATTTTGACTACACTGCAAGGCTTAATGGTACTATCTCCCTTCTTAAACCGTAGCTGAAGCGAGATCTGAACGTTTTACCTACTTATTTAAAGCCAAATGCTTTGACTGCTAGATCATCACCAACGACCTATGCTATATATCGAATATTGATCAAGGAATTGCATTTTTGTTCACAGCTCGAATCGGCATTCATTGATACTATAGAATTTAGATCTTTAGTGGTGTTTTGGTATAATTCATGTGTCATTGAATGACATCACTAGATCTCATCCTGACCGTTGTTGCTACCTTGATGTGGTGGTCGGGCTTGCCTATCGTGATGAAGCAACTGAGCTATACTGGCTGGAACAACCGCTCCTCAAGGTCCTACCATGCCAGACAGGTCGGTTGAAGAGCGGTAAGACTAAAAGCAACAAAACCTAGGTCCGAAGGCGAAGTCGTACTGCTGACTGTACAGAGGTGTGACAGCAGTAAGGTGTTTCCTTCAGACAACCAGCATAACAGCGATGCTGCCTTCCCAAAAGGAGGGGAGGGGTTAGAAAAGGTCGACCCTAAAAATACGCACTTCGCCTTATCCCACGGATATCCGTTTCCGGCGGTAAGGTCTCAACAAGTACGGAGCTAACACAAAAATTACTCATAAAACGGTTGTGTGTGACCGACCTCAAGCAGTTGTCCCTTGGGCACTGCGGTCACGCTCTCAGGTCATTATGACAACCTCTAATCCAATTTCCTTTTCAGGTACCTCCAGAAGAACCCTTCCACGGTGTGGGCGACCGGGAAGTGATAACCGCCCTCATACCTCTAACAGCACTCAAGACCACTGTATTCATAATCAACCTACCTCTATCACTAGATCTCATACAAATCTGTGACTCAGAGCTGAGTACAGTAACTTATTCTTGATAAAGAAGAGTTAAATACCGGATATTTAAATGTCTATAAAAGGAAGTTATTTTCGAGTCATTTTGTTGGAATTTGGTTGTTGGTATAATGTGAACATCCTTCACTGTCATTCATAGTTATACATAGTAATCTTATAGGTAATTTTTTAATGACTTAGTATATCAAGCACTTTACTTAGTTGGCACAACTACCTATTTAACATAGTAGTTGTGTCATTTTTAAAGTTGTCATCGAATGAATGACTTTCAAAATGTTACTTTTTCACATGATTGGTAGATAATTATCTCACTGATGTGCATGAACGGTCAACCAAGCAATAAATTTCAACCTTCTTATTCAATAATGAAATGTCCTTGCGTAACCTAAAAATACTGAATACGATCTTGAAATGAGTGACAGTCCTATAATATGGAATCTTAAGTCCTCATAGAGTGGTAATTTAGTGGTTAATGCACTGTTCTTCCCAGTCAATAGATCTAATTTCTGATCTCACTTCACCAACTTCAGTCCTGTCAATCAGTTAGTATCACTCGCCCTAAAATATGGTTAATGCTAGATATATAAATATGTACTTGGTGAATGAGTAGTTACATTAACCCTTGATTATTTTTTTTCCAGTTATAGTATATGCCTCGTATTTTTCTCTATTTAAAAATTCGCTTGAACAATCTTTTAGTTATTCTTTTCAACCGATCAACAAAATTTATAAACCAAAGCATGAATCTTGGTTTTCAAGTATCTTTGGCACAAACAAATATCAAATATTGCCTAATTTGTGTACAAGTTCTGCGGACTCAATAAACCCGAAAGAGTTTATAGCAGCAGGATGTAACAGTGCTGTATGGGCAGCTGAAGTTCGTCAACAATATCCAAATGATAATGGTAATTGAAAATTCGATTATATATATATATATATATATATATATATATATATATATATATATATATATATATATATATATATAAAGCGTTAAAAATTTGTAGAAATGGTTCAGTTTAAAGATAGTTTCCATTATGTGCTGATTTTAGATAAATAACCGTTAGAAATCAGGTAACACTGAACAGTAGTTCTGTTCTAGTATAGGACTGTACAAGGACGTGTTTTCACGACCCCATCAAAAATCGAACCCAGAGTTTTCAAGCATCATAGTAAACACGTTACTGTTATCTCACTAAGTTGGTCTTAATGATCCACATCGCCAACACTAGTTATTTCTTAGTATTGCGCTATCACCATCTATATCCGTTAGTATGAGCTATTTCAAGCCCTACCTGTTTGATCTCTTTCGATAATGGCTTCTCACTAAGTCTTCGGGATTTCTCCTCGATATCGGTCACTATTAACAATTGGTTATTATTATTATTATTATTATTATTATTGTAGGAATTTTGTGGAATATTCTTATCTGAAAATAGTTTACAGCAGCGACTAATCCCTGGCAAGGTTGTAGGTGCTCAGTGTTGAAAAGTCCTACATAAGAAGTGAACCAATGTCCCTCCAGTTTTCGATAGCTGACTAGATAATGTCACTCCGTGATGTAAAATATTTATTTATTTATTTGAGCACATAAATATTGGTACAAAGGGGCATCGAATACATATGCTCCACACAAGTCACTTGATTTGTGTGTGGGCTCTGATACTGCCCGGGTGTCCAGACCGAAGCAGCTAGTTTTACTAGGAGGCCACTCCCCAAGCTTTTCACCATTGTCTCCTAGTTTTTGACAGCTGACTAGATAAGGTCACTCCGTGATGTAAAATTGTTAGGTCCCGATAAGCATAATGAATAGTAACTTGTGGGACCCATTTATGGACCAATAATATGCGTATACATTTTTATCGTATAATTGTTAATTAACTAAACTATTCATATTCATGTCTCTCTTATCTAAAGCTTTATTTTAACCTATGAACTGTTATTATACGATTAACCATTCTTGAATTATGCCCTGTGTATCGATTACTACCTCCCTGATTCACAGCCATTTTTGGTTAAATCTTGTACAAATATTGTTTCCTATTTTGTGGTACGATGTAGTCTGTTTGGTTGGTATTTAAACCCAGTATGTTTGAAGTAAATGATTCATATCACAGAAGCTCAGATTGGTGTTCTGGTCTTAACTCGCTGGGTTAGGCAGGAAGCAGGACTGATAAGGACTCTAGACTGCTCGTACATGTTTTATCCGTCACTGGTTCGATCGATAAGTCACTGCTCTCTAATAGGCGGTATGATTACGCTATACATTACCAGGGCACACAGCCCACAAGTTATAACAAAAATATACCCAATTATTTTAAGAATAAGAGTTTTTTGGTTATTGTTACGTCTTAACTATAAACCGACTTGGCAGATAAAGGTCAGTTATTGACTTTATCTTCTACCTATCATAGTGAATAATTTGAGCCTTGTAAAAAAGTAAATTTCCTTCATTGGGATTTTATTACAATATAGTGACTAGTTGGCAAATATATAATCTTGGATACTTGCGTGAAATTTAGCTGCTACTAGTTCCTATTGTTTCATGATATCACAAAAAAGTGAACTAGAAAACATCCATGTGTTGCAAGTACTTAATGTCTTTAAACCATTACTTACAAACCGTGGCATACTTGGATGATTGATTTTGAAGTTTGATATTGAGTAGTTAGATTAATCATCTAAAACCAGTCAATAAAGCTATGGATTCTCGTCACCTAAAGTGAACAGGACATTAGTTTTGCTTGCTCAGCCACTACCTACCTCAATCCTCAATTTTGACTGAATCAAGAATGGATTAGATCGAAGCTAAGGGTGACCGAATAAAGGAATAAAGTCAGTGACTATTGTTTGAAGCTTGGGCAATAACTGTGACCACTGAGTGATGATAGCTCAAAATGATACAAATCCGTTTATTTTTTCAACCTATATTTTTATTCTTATTACCTACTTATTCCCTTATTTCATTCCTTCTTTCTGATTCACATTCCTTATATCAAGTCCTTTATGTTATAATTGATAACACTATTATTTCGACCCCTTAGTTAATTTGTCTTATTAGTGTAAATCTTGGATTGATGATGTGTTATGACAATATAGGACGATACATCTTTATGCCTTGTTCTATACATTGACTGGCTGACTCACTGAAATCCTATTAAAATTTCTATATTTAAATGCTTTCTATTTATTTATTTTAACACATAGATATTGGTACAAGGAGGCACCAACTACATATGCACCACACAGATCTCATTTGATATGTGTGAAGGCTGTGATACTGCCTGGGTGCCCAAACCAAAGCAGGTGGTTTTCATAGGGGGCCACTTCCCGAGCCTTCGTCGACCCGAAGATCTGATCCACGAGACAGTAGAGCATCGTATGGAGATGCAGTCCCATGGTAGCCGGTGACCAACGATTGGTTCATACGCCATTTGTTCCATCAGGATATTGGAGTCAGCCGATGTGCACGATTGGTTTGGGATCCGGTTAAAGCCGGTGCCGTACATTCGCTTTTCGTCCTCCCATTTTCGTAAACAACACCCGTAGTGAGAGAAGGCAGTGAGTAGGACTTCCTTAGCAGAGGCTATCTACGCGTGGCTGTGTGAGAGCATTTGGAGGGAGTGAGCTGATTCTCCCCACTCTCGGTCGTACCAGGGCATTTGAGGGCAAATACTTTCTATATATCAAGCATCTATCTAGCATCTTTCAACACAAGTTATTACTTTATTTACTAAGCTCATATACTTTCCTTAACCAGTCTTATTAATATTTTTGTTCTTATTCATTTGCAATTGAACATAGAATTCATTGATAAATTAGCTGTAAAAGTACTGTATAACTATTACACAAATTCATCTTATGATGAACAATCTAATGTACACAATGATTATAATTCATTACAAAATATTCCTAATAATTGGACATTATTACATCGTCAAATTCAAAGAGAATGTAAACTTCGTCCTCAAACTTATCATCCTAATATTGTTCCATTAGTTGGACATTTTATTGATCGTGCACCTCAAGTGAATTCAGTAAATGATTCACATATTCACAATGATAATTATAATGAATCTAATAATGCCTTATCTTCTGGTCAAGTTTCACAGTTTAACCATAAAACTATTCAATCAAAATATTGGCCTGGTGTAGAATACTTTTCAGAAGGTTTCAATAATCGACCGTATACATTCTATATGTTGATGCCAAGGTAAGTATATATCTCCTTATTCTTAATACTATTATTTGATATATATGTATATTAGATAGTTGGAGTTCGTTATAAACAACCTAATACCTATCATAGATATGAGCATCAGCCAAATTTTGCCACGTTTCATATTCATACATCAAGAAAATAAATTTACCGGATAAAAATCTAAGGAGTTATAACATTCATGAGAACTAATGATATGGAATGTGACTCAAGAAAGTGGATGAAGTGGCGAAGTATGAGATAATTAAAAATCTTAAGAGGTAGGCATAGAATGAATGTATCTTTACCACTACGATGAAATTTTTAGTTATGTTACCCAACATCTTTAACTACTGTTTGTGGTCGTCGTCCAAAACACAACATAAAAGCCTCTACCTCCCAACATGAATTAAACCAACAATCCCTTACTTCATGGAATGATCCCATTTCTTAGTTTTTCCTCTTTTAGCACTATTCCAACCTTCTGAAAATGCATATTAAGATATATAATGGTTGGGGATGTGTAATATATGTCTTAGTCACCTCAGTCAATAAAACTAACACAAAAACTACTCACATAAAGGTCGTTTGTGATTTGCTTCATGTAGTTGTTTCTCAGTCTCTATGGCCATGCTCTTATGTCAATAAAACTATCAACACTAATAAAGTTTCTTTTTTTGTCAAGCTTCATAACAATAAATATCTTTCCCATATTATAACAACTAGGGAAATTTAACCACCATCATGTTTTTATCTATACAAGTTCAATTTTATATTGTTTAAACATGAAAAACATACCTAACAGCTTTTTTTTATGTAGAGAAGCTGGCGAAGTGATTTGTACAAGACTAACCTTCAGAATATTGGTTAGATGATAATACTTTATTATTAATTGATGAAAGACCGACCTATATTGTCCCATTTCTATGTGTACAACAAAAAAATTGACAGCATAAGGTTATGGAGATTGTTGAATTCATTGAAATCGTATACCGATCTAAATTGCACCACCATTGAAAACCTGAAAGCACTGGACGGTCGTTTCGTCCTAGTATAAGGCTTCCCAGCAGACCGAATCCACAACTCCATATGCGAGAATCAAACCCATGACTTTCGATCTCGCACACGAACGCTTTATCTTTTAAGCCATTGAGCAGGTATCTAACGGTGTTATTGTCTAATCTCAATCAATCCACGATATTGCAAGACCATCCTTCATTATCTCCAGTTAAATTAAATTCAAACAATTTGTTGTCAGTTAAATCATATTGCTCATTTTGTATACTTTCAGTGATTACAATCTAACCTCTCCATTATTTCTGTTTTAAAGATTTGAAGCAACTTTGGATGATCTCTTACGAGGAAATTTAAAGTATAACTTTGAACAATCACCAGCTGAAATAAATCACGAAGGTAGTATTGAATCTAAGCAAAATCACAACGATAATAATACTAATCTTGTACATATTAATCAGTATCAAAAAACAAATTCTTCTAATACTTTCACATCATCTTTTCAATTACATACTGATTTACATTACTTATTTAATTCAAGCTTATTGAATTCTGCATATATTAAACATGGTGAAATGTATCTTCCTGTTGAAGAGATTGTAGCTATAATTGCTCAATTATTTGAAGCAGTTGCTGAACTTGAAGCGCATGGTATTGCTCATAGAGATATTAAACCAAATAATATACTTATACGTCGACGTGTTCCATTTTTTAATACTAAACAAACATCTGATATGAACAATACTACATATAATAATTTTGTTCAATCCCATTTAAATTGGTTAAATGGTAAGTATAATCTATGTGCTGACCATTCTAAGCAACAATGCAGGCATGTTCGGCATGCAATTCTCTTCCTCGAAATGCAAAATGTTGCTTCAGGATTGGGTTGCACCGCCACCCGAACTAGTGATAGAGAGTGAAGTAGTTGAGCGTGTAGACCGCTTCACTTATCTCGGAAGTCTCATCAGCCCTTGTGGTCTGGTGTGTGACGAAATCTCAGCATAGATACAGAAGGCTCTACTAGATTTCGTTAACTCGCGTCATTTGTGGCGTAGACGAGATATCGTCCACCAAACAAAGGACGGGTTTAGTGCGCAGCAGTGCGTTCCGTCCTACTTTATGGCAGTGAAACACGGCCGGCAAGAGTAGAGGATATTCGTAGGTTACTAGTATTTGATCATAGATGTCTTCGAAACATTGCTCGTATATCCTGGGACCACCGAGTAAGTAATTCAGTTGTTAGGAAACGGGTACTAGGTAAGGATGGCAAATCAATTGATAATGTTGTGAAACATGTGTTACGTATGCCTGACCACCGACTGCCCCGACGTGCGATGTTTTATGGTGTAGGAGTAGGTTGGAAAAAAAGGTAGGGGTGGCCAGACCAAAACATGGCACAAATCCATGAAGTCACTGACAAGTAAACTGAGCCATGTTGGTAGGTGTAGACTACCTGGATGGGGTCCCCGACATGATAGCAACCGATGGTTAGAGATTTTGAATGACATGGCTCAAAATCGTTTGCAATGGTGTGCGCAGGTGCATCCATTCTCTGTGCTCTCCCAAATTCTAATCTTCTGAATTCTTCATGTCCTTTATTTTCTCTCCAAATCTATTCCACTGGATTATACTCCTTAAACAACATCATCAAACCCTAATGTTCCCTATCACTACTTATACTTTCACTATCTCTACCACTACGGGATTTGAATCGATAACTGCATCTCTATGCTAATATGGTATGGCAACTCGAACTGATGTACGTACGTACAAAGTTCCACGTTGTTACTGACTGAATCTATGTCTCCCTTATTACTGTACTATCAATATTACTAAACACTTTATATTCATTTCATTAAGATCATAGGGTGAAAATATTTCAAAAAAACATAACTTCATTTCTAAAGTTTATTCTTGTACTACTGGTGACAAATCATTCATAAAATGATTTGGAAATAGTAAAAATGTTTGAAAAGTATATTATGATTAATGCTAGATTTTAGCGTTTAGCTAACGAGTTTAGTATGAAGCACAAATTGTTTTTGATAGAGACTTCTATATGAAGTTTGTACTGATGATGTCGTTCAGAAGAAGAAGAATGAAAGTTCCATGACTAAATCATCCAGCTCAGAGAACAAAATGATTCACCTGGGCTAAAAATCTTTTTCACCATCTCAAAAACACATATTGTTTCTTATCAGAAGGGGTTTTGTGGAGATTGTAGTAATTTCAATGGTTAAGATTATGAGTCAGTTAAAGTTAGACCACCATGGAAAACCTGGAAGTACTGGACGGCGGTTTCGTCCTATTGTGGCACTTCCCAGCAGTGCGCATTCACGACCTCGCCCCCCTGCGAGATTCCAACCCAGGACCTACTGGTTTCGCGCGCCTGCACTTAACCACTAGACCACTGAGCCGGCCGGCATCCAATGGTGTTAATGTCTAACTTCAACTAATCCACGAAATTGAGCGACAAATCCACCATTGTCTTCAGTGAGTTACTATCTCACAACAAACCTGGTTGATTAGATTATTCTCAAAAGTCTTCAAAAACTTCTAACTAGATATTTATCCTGCGTTGTGTCAAGCAATTATCAATTATGTGGTCTCAGTAGTCTAGAAGATTAGCGTTCGCTCACAAACTGGATGAATGTTCTTGGTTTCGATCCTCAACGTATATATATTTTTGAGAAATCCTTTTTCCCCAGTACTTCTAAAATCAGTTCATGATTAGAATGATAAAAATTATAAATTTTGAATATTTTTTTTCTTTTCATTTCATCATTTAGACAAAAGAATACAAATGACTAATTCACATTTTCATGTTGCATTAACTGATTTCGGATGTGCTATTCGAACTGGACATTATCATTATATTAATGATGATAATCATAATGAAAAACAAGAAGAAGAAGAAGAATATCTTAATCATAGTGGAAATTTGGCATTATTAGCTCCAGAAATAGCACAAATTATTCATTCCATTAAAGATAATTCAAACAATTTACAATATATTTTAACTAATAAAGATTATAAACATTCAGATATATGGGCAATTGCTACATTAATTTATCCATTGTTTGGTATACCTAATCCATTTATTGATGGAGTAAGTTAATTTAAACAAGTTCAATTTATAAAATATATATAATTTGATTTAAATATGGATACACTATGATAGAACAATTTGATTACATAAACTTGTTTGTATTGTTATGCAATTATAACTCATAGTTAAAGCAGTTCGTTCCGTTCTACTATACGGCTGCGAAACATGACCTTTAAGAGTAGAAGATACTCGTAGGTTACTAGTATTTGACCATAGATGCCTTAGAAATATTGCTCGCATCTTGTGGCATCACCAAGTAAGTAATAGTGAGGTTAGACAAGCAGGGTATTAGGGAATGATGATAAATCAGTTGATGAGGTTATGAATCTTCATTGACTGAGATGGTCGGGCCACGTGTTACGTATGCCTGAACACCTATTACCACGACGCGCAACCGGTGGTGTTATGGATGATTGGAAGAAAGTTAGGGACTGTCAAACCAAAACATGACATCAGTGCTTGAAGTCACTAACTTCTGGTCTGAGCCATGTTGTTAGATGCAGACTACTTGGCTGGAGTCCGCGTGACTATCGTAACCAATGGTTGGAGACTCTTGGTGACATGGCTCAGAATCGATCGCAGTGGCGCAGGTCTATACACTCTCTGTGTTCCTTTAAACTAAGAGATTAGAATCACTTCATATCTTTCTTTCTACCAACTAATTCTTTCTTCCTGTACTATATCCTTATATGCAATCTTTCTTCTATATATTACTACCTTTGAAGTGACTCTTTCTATGAATCCGGTGTTCATCTTGTTGTGCTAATGCGGTATGGCAACTTGGACCGATGCATATGTGTGCCCGGTCCTACGTTGCAACTGACTGACTGACTGGAAGTTAGTCCCTTTGATAAATTTCGATAATGTAATAAGATGAACATTATCAGAACTATGTGATGATACATTACGAACAATCTGATCACACAATACATATTTGTTATGAAAATTTATATATAGAGAAAATAAAAGGTCAACTAGACTGGAAATGGGGGTAAGAGGAGACAAGGATGATAATAATAATAATGTGAACACAATTTGAAACTTAATCACTCTAGATAATAAGTCAATGTTACCAACGTGGACAAGTCAATACCTTAGTTATTATAGTTATTGCCCTGTGCAATACAAACGTGGTTTGATAAGGTGTCTTTTCAACAGGCTTGATCGTATTTGTACAAATGCCGCCATTGATGATGATGTTAAGTTGCTAAATAAAACATTAATAGAAAATGGATATCCTCTGAAATTCATAAATAGATGGAAAGTTCATGGTACAGTGAGACCTACTGTAGCCTCGGTAGAAAAAAGTCAGTCAGTAACAACGTGGAACTTCGTACGTACGTACATCAGTTCGAGTTGCCATACCACATTAGCACAGAGATTCAGTTATCGATTCAAATCCCATAGTGGTAGAGGTACTGAAAGTATAAGTAGAGATAGGGGACATTAAGGTTTGATGATGTTATTAAAGGAGTATAGTCCAGTGGAATAAATTGGGAAAGAAAATAAAGGACATGAAGAATTCAAAAGATTAGAATTTGAGAGAACACAGTGCGTGGATGCACCTGCGCCATTGCAAACGATTTTCAGCCATGTCATTCAAAATCTCTAACCATCGGTTGCTATCATCTCGCGGTCCCCAACCAGGTAGTCTACACCTACCAATATGACTCAGTCCACTTGTCAGTGACTTCATGGATTTCTGCCATGTTTTGATCTGGCCGCCCCTAGCTTTCTTCCAACCTACTCCTACACCATAAAACATCGCACGTCGGGGCAGTCGGTGGTCGGGCATGCGCAACACATGTCCCAGCCATCTCAACTGATTAAGTTTCACTACTTCATCAATTGATTTGCCATCCTTACCTAGTACCCGTTTCATAACAACTGCATTACTTACTCGGTGGTCCCAGAATATACGAGCGATGTTTCGAAGACACCTATGATCAAATACTAGTAACCTACGAATATCCTCTACTCTTGCCGGCCGTGTTTCACTGCCATAAAGTAGGACGGAACGAACTGCTGCGCACTAAACCCGTCCTTTGTTTGGTGGACGATATCTCGTCTACGCCACAAATGACGCGAGTTAACAAAATCTAGTAGAGCCTTCTGTATCTATGCTGAGATTTCGTCACACACCAGACCACAAGGGCTGATGAGACTTCCGAGATAAGTGAAGCGGTCTACACGCTCAACTACTTCACTCTCTATCACTAGTTCGGGTGGCGGTGCAACCCAATCCTGAAGCAACATTTTGCATTTCGAGGGAGAAAATCGCATGCCGAACATGCTTGCATTGTTGCTTAGAGTGGTCAGCAGACTCTGCATTCTGTCAGCGTCTTCACCAAATAGAACTATGTCATCGGCATATCCTAAGTCAACAAGTGTATCTCCCGGTAGAAGTTCAACTCCTGGAAATTTAGATGAGGAAAGTGTCATCTCTAAAAGGACGTCAACGACAAAGTTAAACAAGAATGGAGAGAGTGGACAGCCCTGACGAACACCACTTGAGGTAATCAATTCTGATGACAGTTCACCATAAGCTCTCACTCGACCAGTTGTGTTCGAGTAGAGAGCCTTTATAAGGTTGATGTAGTTCTTTGGTACTCCCTTCAGTGACAAACACTGCCATAGAACCTCACGATCAACAGAGTCAAATGCCGCCTTAAGATCGAGAAATACGATTATTGTGGGGCGTCTGAGTGTGTGTCTATGTTCTAGGACCTGACGTAATGTGAATATTTGATCAATACAACCACGTCCAGGTCGAAAACCAGCCTGGTTTTCTCTAGTCTGCTCTTCACGAGCTTTGGTTAGGCGTCAAAGCATTATTGAAGCTAATATTTTAGATACTATATTAGTCAAACTAATTCCTCTGTGATTGTCACAAGAAGACTTTTGTCCTTTCTTATACACTGACACAATCAGTGATTGAGACCAGTCAGATGAGATTACGTCCAGTTCCCAGATTCTACCTAAGACCTCAGTCAATCTCGCTGCTAATACTGGACCGCCATCCTTAAAAATCTCAGGGGTAAACCTGTCAGGGCCTGCTGCTCTCCCACGCTTCAGATTTCCTATAGCTTTTTCAACTTCGTAAAGAGTCGGAGGACTTACATCAACTTGCCATTCAGGTCGACTGGAGATCGTGGGAAACCGAAGTGTGACTGAAGGCCAGTTGAACTGATCCCTAAAGTGTTCTGCCCATCGATCCGATCTCCTGGATTGAGAATGAATAATATGTCCATCTTTCTCTGCGATTGTTTCGCTAACAGTGGGGTTCCTAATACCGGTTTCCATAACAAGTCTGAACAGTTGCCTGCTGTTACCTATTGCCGCTACCTTTTCCATCTCTCTTGCTTTCGCTACCCACCACTGTTCACGATCTTTGCGTAGGCTTCTAGTCAGCTTACGCTTAAGCTGACTCCGGTATTCGTTATGTTCAGAGCCAGATGGAATGAGTTTTCGAGCATCTATCAGTGCGGTAGATGCTGCTGAGATCCAGTGTTTCTCCCTAACCTTATGGTTTACCGTACTTGCAGACATCACTGCTGTTTCTACAGCTTTTCGGATGTCATTCCACGCTGCCTCGGGGTGGGCGTAACTTACATGGCTCTCTAACTGTTTTTCTAGATGTTCCTGAAATATACTCATAGCTTGACTATCATTTAGTAAGACCCTAAGGGGTTTCCTTGCAGCATGTTTCCTACGTCCAGTAAGTCGTAGACAAATACGCGCTCGCACTAGAGCATGATCTGAGTCTAAGCATGTGCTCCAGAATGAGCGACAGTCTTCGATCGAGCCCCTCCATCGGTGGCTGATAGCGATGTGATCTATTTGGGTCCAGCGTTGAGACGAATTAGGGGGTCGCCATGTTAAAAGATGTTTTTCCTTATGCCTAAAGTTAGTGTTTGCAAGAAACAGGCGGTTATCTGAGCATAACTGCAACAGACGGTCGCCGTTATCTGTTCTTTGAGCCGCGACACCATAAGATCCACCCAGGTGTCTTTCCTTTTCGCTTAGTTTACCTATTTGAGCATTAAAGTCACCAGCCACTATTACTACATCTGAACGCCTAGCTTTTCGGAGAAGGTCGGAAAGCTTTCTGTAAAACTCATCTTTTACATCATCTGAGCTGCAGTCAGTGGGAGAGTAGGCAGAGATGACGAAGAGGCAACGACGAGTCTCCCTATCTTTTCGAGTCCTTACTGTTCCGTTTAGTCGGACAGCACACAAACGACTGTCTACTTCTTCTCTTTTCTCCTTCTCTTCTAATTATCACTGTTTTGTGTGGCGCATATATATTTGGTGCCCCCCTGTACCAATATTTATGTGTTCAAATAAATAAATAAATAAATAAATAATCCAGTCTAAGAGAGCTAGTTCTGTCCTAGGACTCAATGCTATACCTACGCCAGCGAGGCCACGGGAAGCAGCATCAGGGCTTCCAGATACACGAAGTGTAAATCGAGTTGGTTCGTCACTTTGACATGGTGCGGTCAAATGAATGACAGTACTAGGATCCTGTGTGCGCGTTTCGGAGACGCAGCACACATCGATGGCGCGAGATCCGAAAGTCCTAGCTAAAGAAGCCTGTTGTCCTATTTTGCACAGTGTTCTGACGTTGAAAGCTCCTACGTGTAGTTTGGAGCGTGGTTTCAGGAGACCAGGAATAACGTTCCGCGTGCTCGAATCGTTTGCACTAGCGGAGCGAGGTGATAAAGGGACGTGAGAAGGGTTAGTCGGTGGGATAAGAGAGTTATTAGGAGGTGTGGGAAGAATTTGAATGTGACCAACTTGGCCTCGTGTGCTGTTACGGGTATGAGGGCTGATGTCACTTCCCGGTTGCCCACACCGTGGAAGGGTATTTCTTGAGGAACCTGAAGAGGAAATCAGATTAGTGTTGGTCTTAACGACCTGGATATCTGACCGCAGAGCCCAAAGGACAACTGATTGAGGCCGGTCGCGCGCGGCCTATTGTGGGAAGTTTTTAATGTGCTATTTCCGTTCTTCAAACGGCCTTACCGCCGGAGACGGAAGTCCGTGAGGTAAGGTGATGTGTAACATTTTTAGGGTCAACCTTTTCTAACCCCTTCCTTCCTTGTGAGAAGGCAGCATCGCTGCAGATGCTGGTTGTCCGAGGGAAACACCTTACTGCTGTCACACCTCTGTACAGTCAGCAGTACGACTTCGCCCTCAGACCTTGAGTTGCTGCTTTTAGTCTTACCGTTCTCCAATCGACCTGCCTGGCATGGTAGAACCTGCAGGAACATGTGTTCCAGCCAATATAGCTCGGTTGGGTCATCACGGTAGGCAAGCCCGACCACCACGTCAAGGTAGCAGCTACGGTCGGGCGGTAGAAAAAAAAGCCTGTCTATATCACCTTACCATTCAGAGGTGATTCAAATAGCCTTTTATTGAAACAAAGACTTAAATCAGTCATCAATAAAACGTATTGCGCAGCAAAGGTCATTGTCAAAGAAAGAACAAGTTGCATGCTTCATCGAAAACCTAAAAGACATGAAAACAATTGTGTCACATCCCACTGTGTTTACCAATTTAAATGTGTGTGTGGTCATGCATACATAGGCAGGAGCAATCGTGATCTCAACATTAGGGTGTGTGAACATGTACCAAAATGGCTGCAGAAACAGATACAATCAAGTGACTCAATAAGAGCAGAGGATACATATCCATCATCCTCTATTGCTAAGCATATAATTCAAACAGGCCATAAGATTGATCTAAACCCGGCTTTTGTGGTGTTGTATAGAAGTGTAAAAGGGCGTATACTAAGGTTTATTGAAGCCTTAACCATACGAAAATTCAAACCCCCTTTGTGTTCTTACCTTAAACCTACCCTGGTAATATTAACTTATTATTCAGAGTGATTAGGTTTAAATTGTGCTCAATAGTTCAGTTAAGTAGTCTGTAAACACAGTGGGATAGATTTTATAACATATGAAACTAAAGAATACTCACTTGATGAAAACTTTCAAATCAGTTAAGAGCATGAAGAGAGCTTAGGTCACTGTCTGCAGTGTAGAATGTTCCAGTGAAAATAGTATCTTAAAACGATATACTGGATTAAAATTGTCTTACTGTTAGAAGGTTAACTCAGCAAGCGCTTAATTCTTTCTGTTTAGTAACTCTTATCATTAGTTCCTCCAGTAAAATCTAATTCTTATGCGATATAATTGTTATACCTAGCTGTGTATCTAACCAGTAAGTGTACAGGTTAGTCACCTTTTCTGTTTTGCAGTCTATGGTCTTTCAGATTCACGAATATTATAACATAACTAGTGAACCCCTTAAAACGAAACCATAACACTGAATGATATTACAAACAATGATCAATAATTAGTAGTAAACTTACAACATGACATCATTTTCATTGGGATTTTTTACACCATCTAATCCTCTTCCTCGGTTTCTATTGATCCTAAAATCTCCATTTAGCAGATATTCCTTCGGTATATAATCAAATCTATCCCACTATGCCTACAGACTACGTGAATCAATATATTGGTTTTCTGATCCGAGAGATATGTTTCCGATCCATTCCTGGCGAAAGTTGATAAAAAGTTCACACAGTTACTGCAGTAGGGCGTTATCATAGAAGTCACTATAACCTGAGGCTCTCCTAGTATCGTCACAAAAACTTACTGTTTTCTCAACGAGTGTTAATGCAGCTTTTCAATAACATCTTAATCCTCCCGTAGTACCGGATTAACTATTTACTATTCTCCATGGTAGGTGTTGTTCCACTCATTAATACTTGCTGGCAAAAGGGGATATATTTTAGCAAAATACCATCAACCACAAAACAAAATAGGTTTAACAAATTGAGATTTCTTGCATTATATCCTTGTGCTTGTGTGTGTGTGTGTGTATAATCACATGAGTTTTTAAGCCTGGTTAATACAAAATACTTGATTGTCTTTCTTGATGTTATTATTGGTAGATTATCCAGTTGAACTGTTGTCATTTTACCAGATACAATTATTAATGAAACAACAATAGAGTTCATTTAAAGAAGCTGAAGAACATGTCATCAAAATATTAGCTGAAAATAATCGATTCACACCCCATGTTGTGTACTATTATACATTTGATATCTGGTTAACCTCTCTATCAAAAAGAAATTCCAGAATTAAACTAAGAGAGAGAAGATTCAATGCTCAATTGTTCTGGTATACATATGAACTGAAATATTTAAATTATACTTAACATAGAAACAACTGATTGGTATCTTTTCGATTGAGATCATGAATCGACTGATGTTAGACCACCGCTGGAAACCTGGAAGCACTGGACGGCCGTATCGTCCTAGTATGGGACTCCTCATTGGCAGTGCACATCCACGATCCCACTCGCGGGATTCCAACCCAGGGCCTTCAGTCTCGCGCGCGAACACTTAACCTACTCGACCACTGAGCCGGCCGGCATCCAATGATGTTTGTGTCTAACATCAACCAATCCACGAAATTGCGTGACCATCTTCCATTGTAATGACGTAGATACCTGTCTCTACCCGACACGGATTAGCTCCACTGGTCATGGCTTCTCACTAGAACTCCGAGAATTCCCTGACAAAGCTAGTCACTAGTGAAAACATGTTGATTATCAGTATTGGGGTTGTGGAGATTATTAAGTTTTCGATTGAAATTTCAGATTTCTACTTACTTTAATTTATCACTATTTTATCAGATAATTTTATTTATTCCCACTTTTATTTTTAAAGACATTTTCTTCAGTAAATTATACCGAAGATTCTTTACCTGAACTTCCTCATGAAGCACCAAAAATAATGACATGGATTTTACATCAATGTCTTAAACGTAATCCATCTGAAAGACCTAATGCTGATGAAATTGCAGATATTTTACATACTTGGTGTCTTATTCGACATTTTCACAATAGAAAAGAAGTTGATATTTTTAAAGATTTTTTGCAATATTCAATAAATCCTGTGACCATAAATGTAAGTTTTAAAAATAAATCCCTAACAATCATTAGTATGATGAATTTTAATAGTTGAATTCATAAGTCGATTAAAGCTAGACTATCATTAAAAACCTAGAAGCACTGAATGGCTGTTTCATCCAAATATGGGACTCTTCATCAGTAGGTATTCATGATCTCCGCACGCGGAACTCGAGTCCAGAACCTTCTGTCTCGCACACGAACGCTTAAGGTAGTGTAATAATAATAATAATGGGGGGAGACGAAAAGGTACAATCAGAAGAAATCTTTCAGTTAAGGAAGATACAGCCACTTTTTATGAAGAAAGTAAATGGAACGTTACAGCAGGATTGCCACTGGTTTCTATTCTGAGCCATATGTGATAACGTCTCTAGCCACTGTGTTGCACCATCTCTAGGACCCCAGCCAGGGAGTCGTGAAGGACCAACACAAGCCAGCCATTTACAGCTTTCTTTCATACCACGACACTCACCATGTCATACACTGATCACACCTCTCAGTTGAAGGCAGCCAGTTTGAATGGTGCACGTGGTCTCAGAAAAACTGCTTCAGTATTCGTATTCGGTGGTAGCATACAATTTTTAACCAGTCAGTGACTCGAGAACGTTTAGATAGAACCGAATTTCCACGATAAGCGAGCTGCTGTATAAGTCGAAAAATAAGGATACATAAGGTGGCAGTAAAAGAGAGTGAATAAATGACGTAGCAAATAACAATAATAATAATAGTAGTAATACTAATGATTATGTGAATCGTTTGATTGTCAATTGGAGCAAGAAAGTATCTTCCATAAATGTGAACATTTCATCATTTTTGTGTGTGGGCTGTGATACTGCCCGGATGCCCAGATCGAAGCAGGTGGTTTTCTTAGGGGGACACACCCCGAGCCTTTGACCTAAAGGTCTAGTCCACAAGGCAGTAGAACATCGTGAGGAGATGCAGTCCCATGGTAGCCGGTGACCAACAATTGGTTCATACGCCATTTGTTCCCGCAGGATACTGGAGCTCATGTGCACCATTGGTTTGGGATCCGGTTAAAGCCGGTGCCGGACATTCGCTTTTCATCCTCTCATTTTCGTAAACAACACCCGTGGTGTGAGAATGCAATGAGTAGGACTTCCCTGGCAGAAGCTATCTACGCGTTGCCATGTAAGAGCATTTGGAGAGGGTGAGCGGACTATTCTCACTCTCGGCCATACCAGTGCATTTGGCGGCGGTGAATTAACTGATTGTTCTCGTTTTTTAATTGGATATGTTGAGAACAGTTAGGATTTGATTTGACCTAACAAACGTCTACAAGCTTAATAGAGGGATATTTAATGGGGCCATATAGAAGATGAATTCATATTAACTAGATTTATCTAGTTTCATCAATTGAAATGTAACTGATATCAATTTTTAAAATATGTTCACTTATGATAATAAAAATTTAATATGAATTGATTACTGGAATATGTAGTTCATACAATTACTTTCATAAACCAGTTGATTTGATTGAATTGGTGTTGATTGTTGTTATTGTTGTTGTTGTTGTTATACTTTATACCGATGTAATCCAATTAATCCATATGTGCATTTTTTTTTATTAAGATCATGAATCGACTGATGTTAGACCACCGTTGGAAACCTGGAAGCACTGGACGTCCGTTTCGTCCTAGTATGGGACTCATAAGCAGCGTGATGGAAGATGGTTGCGCAATTTCGTGGATTGGTTGATGTTAGACACTAACACCATTGGATGCCGGGCGGCTCAGTGGTCGAGTAGGTTAAGTGTTCGCACGCCAGACTGAAGGCCCTGCGTTGGAATCCCGCGAGTGGGATCGTGGATGTGCACTGCCGGTGAGGAGTCCCATACTAGGACGAAACGGCCGTCCAGTGCTTCCAGGTTTCCAGCGGTGGTCTAACATCAGTCGATTCATGATCTCAATCAAAAACTTAATAATCTCCACAACCCCAATATTATCATTCTTTTAATTGACTTTTAGATGGATTATTTAACTGCAAAATTTAATAACTCAACAACATCTTATAAATTTCAAAGTTATAAGTTTATCAACGATTTATGTAATCTTTTAAATATATGTTGGGCAGGTGATTGGTTATCTGGTGCTGCTCGTCCTCCAAATGGTATACGTTCATTGTTTTATTCACGAGTTACTCCTGATCGTTTGTTGCTTTATTTAAATATTGTATATCAATTGGAATATTTCAATGATTAGCATGTTTTTTTTTGTGGAGATTTCTCTCCTAACAATTGTCAATATTTTCTTTCCCAATTTATTCCACTGGATTATATTCCTTGAATAACATCATCAAACCTTAATGTTCCCTATTACTACTTATACTTTCACTACTTCTACCACTATGGGATTTGAAGCGATAAGTGAATCTCTGTGCTAATGTGGTATGATATGGCAACTCGAACTGATGTACGTACGTACGAAGTTCTACGTTGTTACTGACTGACTGATTATCATATTTTACAGATTGTTGTTTATATATAATGTCATCCTGTCTTGTTCATAATTCTGTTTTATTTCTGTCTTGTATTTACTTTTAGAAAATAATCTATTAGTGTATATTTTGTTCACTTCTTTTGTAAGATCTCTTTCACAAAATTGATTTCCGATTTAGTTATCTCGAAAATTGTTATATATTGAAGACCGTCGAATAGAGGGCAGTGAATAATCGACCAGATCAAGGAGGCGTAGAACATGTGCTAGCGGCCTAGAGTTCTAGATTGGTCCTGCTTTCTGTCTAGCCCAGCCAGTGAAGTCTAGAATGCGAATTTCAACCTCTGCAATATGAATCGTTATATTTCAAACATACTGGGTTTATATATACCAATCAAGCAGACTACATCGTACCAATAAAATAGGAAACAACATTTGTACAAGATTTCGCCAAATGTGGCTGTGAACGAGGGAGATAATAATTGATAGACTGGGCATAACTCAAGAATGGTAAATGGCATAATAATAGTTCATAGGCCAAAATAGAGTTTATAATAAAAGGAACACGAATATGAATAGTTTAGTTATTTAACAATTATACGACAAAAATATACGTTTAGTATTTGTCCACAAATGGATCCCAAAATTACCATTCATTATACTTTAACCGGATCCCTAACCAATGATGCACATGGGCTCCAGTATCCTGAAGGAACAAATAGCGTATGAACCAATTTATTGGTCACCGGTTACCATGGGACTGCATCTCTTTACAATGCTCCACTACCTTGTGGGTCAGACGTTCAGGTCGAACGCTCGAGGTGTGGCCCCCTAAGAAAACCACCTGCTTCGGTTTGGGCACCCGAGCAGTATCACAGCCCTCACACAAATCAATTGAGATTCGTGTGGCGCATATGTATTTGGTGCCTTTTGTACAAATACCTATGTGTTAAAATAAATAATAATTTTTTATAGCTTGACGTAAAACAACATGATGAAATTTATGGTGAGAACTAGCTATATTAGTCAATATAATTTAGCAAAGTAACAATATTCAGTTAAAGCCATTGACTTTTATTCAAATGATGATATTTCTTGGTCTGGATACTTACATTTGTATTAACTTTCTCAACATTTCTCCAAGGACTTGGTGAATTGAATGGAACTAAACATATCACATGCCTATGTTCACATGATGTTTCTGTGCAAAGCATTCAGTGAAAGATCGTAAATCTGGTTCACTATTACACAACTCTGATTATATACTTTGTTATGGGCTTAGTTCATATGGCTTTGTCTTAACCAAACGTCTCTACACACACATATCAGGTTGTGCAAGTGTTTTAGGAGCATTATATCAGCATATGAATCAGACAACAATAGAAAGTGACAGTGTCTGATCAATGATTTCCAAAATTTGGATAAAACAACTGTATGTACAGTCAAGAAGTATTTAATTCACTGGAATAACTCAGTTAAGGTTGATTAAAATCGAAAGGCTGTTTCAGTTTTTTCGAATATGTTTAAATAATGGTCCCACTATGATCAACTGTTAATTTAAGGGAGATTGTTCAAGAAGTAACGAATTACTTATGAGTAGTATTTTTGAAGGAACTCAAATAATCCATATGCGTAAAGAATCCTAGTGAATCAACCCGTAAAATTCTTAAACTTAGGACAAATGAGATAATAAAGTTGTCTAATCTGAAGGTTTTTAAATTAATATATCTATACATTGTGAGACAGTTCTAACATCAGCATTTTATTTTCGATCTAGATGTATGCTTGAACACTGATCACCACGATGCGCAATGCTAACCGGTGTTAGGGAGAATTGGAAGAAAGTTAGGGGCGACCAAACCGAAACGTGGTATCAGTGCTTGAAGTTACTAACTTCTAGTCTGAGCCATGTTGGTAGATGCAGACTACCTGCTTGGGGTCCGTGTGACTATCGTAACCGATGGTTGGAGACTGTGTGTGACATAGCTCAAAATCGATCACAATGGCACCGGTGTATACACTATCTGTCTTCCTTTAAACTAAGAGATTAAAATCGCTTCATGTCTTTCTTTCTACGAACTAATTCTTCCTATACTATCACTTTACATGCAATCTTTCCTTTATATATTACTACCTTTGAAGTGACTCTTTCTATGAATCCGGTGTTCATCTTGTTGTGCTAATGCAGTATGGCAACTTGAACTGATATACAAATGTGCCTGGTCCTACGTTGCAGTTGACTGACTGATCTAGATGTCTCGCTGTTCATAATTAGTTAATATCAGGTTCTGGTGCTATGACTTCAAATATTTGACATAGCTTCTCAGTTCTCAATAAATAATTATGACTCGTTTTGAATAAATGTCTGATTAGTGTATAACCAACCACCGATTAACTATCGGATGATTTCTACGATTTGTCTGAAAAGAAGTATAACTAAAAATGATTGGCATAATCTAGAGGTAGTGTATCCCAAGTTTACCGTCCCTTTTCTTAGAAATGTATTCGTGTTGTAAACTGACTTTGGTCTTCCTCCGATATCATACGCTGAGTGACTGGCAGTCCAATATATCGCTTCTGCGAACTTCCATATAAATCTGGAACCAATTTATGATACTAATAAAGTAAATATGCTCAGATCTGGGTAGCTTTAAACTGAAGTTTCCTTATACATGCTTGTTCGTTTCTTAATTGTACACGTTATTCGTGTATTGAGTAATATGTTACCGTAGAAGGATGGTTGCCCCAATGTGTATGAATCTGACAAAACGTGAGTTTGTAGTGCTGAGCCCTTTGCTTGGATGGAGTAGCTATCCAGGGCTTCATCGATTCTAGTGTTTGCCTAGCTAAGATATGTCCGTAAGTAATCTATGGGTATTCTTCAGTCACCTTATACACTCTTATATCAATTGACTTCTCTTCATACAAATTCCGTAGCTTACTCGATACTGATTCCAATAGATTCCATAGCGTTATATTATTATATTAAAGAAATGACTGAACAATCATTCGGCAGATGATGCTGATTTCTCTAGCTTAAATGAACTTAAATATATGAAAGTATGTAGTATCTGTTATTATGTTAAGCCCATTTACCTTATTCTAACTTTCAGACAGCTCAATCTATTCATTCTACTTGAGTCATATTTTGACCTTGTTAATTATTCGCTTATCAATCTTGACTGTTTTTATATGAGCGCATAGGTGTGTGTACACCTCTTATCCCATTATTCATCACATGTCTGTAACTTATTTTTGTGTAACTATAAATATTGATTAACGCTTAGTTAGAGGGGAGTTGGCTTACTCGCCATCTCCACTGCGCGTCATTTTGGCTTCGCTTTCTTCTCTTCGAATCGTTTCCCGTTCGTTTGTTTGATCAGCGATTATACAAAATATATGTATTCCAAAGTTCTATTCTCGTTATTTGACTTATTTAATTCCGTTATTGACTAACGCGATTTAAGTCGGTGATTATATACGAGGATAAACGATAGCAATCATTCATAAGACCAAATTGGAGTCAGGTCACGGGCCACTAAAGTGGAGAGCCCTCTGACGAACATCGTCCGATTTAAATGAAGAAAAACTAAAGGGCCGCATAAGCACATGTGTCAAAAATCAGTCTTTTAATAAAAACGATAAATCAATTAACCTTAAGTTTGTTTGGCAAGGCGTAATTGACGACAAATTGTGTAACGTCCCAGTAACACATGTACGTATGTATTGTCGCTAGATTTTCCGTGATGTGCGGAGATTTTTGTTCAAGTTTTGCGTCAAAACGGTTTTGGGGAAAGTACGCCAAAATTTAGGGAAAATACCCCCAGTTCAGAGTAAATTTTAGGGAAAACCCCGTAAGTGTGGGGAAATCTTGGGGAAAATTCACAACGTTTGAAGAAAAACCCCTACATTTGTTGAACTTTTGGGGAAAAAAATACATTATATATATATATATATATATATATATATATATATATATATATATATATAAAGAAACTAATAAATTACAGTGGATATTCTGGCGAGACTAATTTAAGGACGAGTCAATCAGAAGCGTTTGATCGATTTCAAGGTCACAGAGCCAAAACCTGATGCTCACATACGATCGGTTTACAGCGGATTTTAGAGAAGAGGTGATTAATGAGAGGCCACAAGTTTATTTATTTTACTTTAACACATAGATATCGGTACAAGAAGGCCCCAAATACATATGCGCCACACAGATTTCATTTGATATGTGTGAGGGCTGTGATACTGCCCGGGGGCCCAAACCGAAGCAGATGGTTTTCTTAGGGGGCCACACCCCGACCCTTTGACCTGAAGATCTGGTCCACAAGGTAGTGGAGCATCGTGAGGAGGTGTAGTCCCATGGTAGCCGGTGACCAACGATTGGTTCATACGCCATTTGTTCCTGCAGGATACTGGAGCTCATGTGCACCATTGGTTTGGGATCCGGTTAAGGCCAGTGCCGGACATTCGCTTTTCGTCCTCTCATTTTCGTAAACAACACCCGTGGTGTGAGAATGCAGTGAGTAGGACTTCCCTGACAGAGGTTGTATATTCGTGGCCGTGTGAGAGCATTTGGAGAGGGAGAGCGGACTCTTCTCACTCTCGACCATAACAGGGCATTTGGGGGCGAGAGGCTACAAGAGATGAGACTATTAAGAAGTTCTTGTACCTGCGACTGCATTTATCAAATGACAGCAGTAAAGTGTGCAGACCACCGTGGTGAGGTTGTATTTCGTTGTTGTTCATGTTGAAGGAAAATGTCTGCTCGAACGGGGACTTTCTTCGCTCGATCGCATCTGAAACTGAAGCAGATCATGATAATAGTTGCAAATTGTATAATAAAGACACCAGTAACACTGGCTGCGGCATTTTCAGATGTTACTGAAACTTCATCAGTCCAGTGGTATGAGTATTGCCTTGACATATGTGCAACTAAAATGACACGTCTACATCAATCACTCGGAGGAGTAAAAATATATTATTAGAAACTAATAGATTACAGTGGATATTGTTCTTTAACATGATTTGAAAACTTGTTATGGTTTGATAAAGGTTCAGATGTTTTGAAATCATAATGCATGCGGTATAGGAACTCATCCATATGACTCCATAATAGTCGTCCTCTAAAGCCGTGGTACGGTCTTAAACATTCCTTCAGTCTGGATCACATGGCTTCAATATTACTAGTATGAATGCCGGTTGTAGGGTCGACGAAATGGCGCTTAAGCACTACGACATTATGCACATACCCAAATCTATGTAGGGATCTATAAGGTCTCTAATCATCTGTATGTACTGTAGTGCCCGGCTGCACGTATTCCTGTATAATTAATGTTAATGTGCTTGTTTGCCGGTTTCCGACCCCCTTTTGCGTTGATCGATCATAAATTCCAAGTACCTGTCAAGTATATTTACGGAAATGCTACTTACCCAATATTCCTTGATACTTCATCCCATGTTGTATTTTCGCCTTACCAAACAAACTTAAGGTTAATTGATTTATCGTTTTTATTAGAAGACTGATTTTTGACACATTTAAATGTTTATTATATTTAATAAAATTACACATTATTCATTAATACGTTTTTCATTGCTTTGTTACTGTAACAGGTTACGCAGAACTTGAACTATCATTCGGTATGTTCTAGAAAAAAATGAAAAAATAATTTTTAGCTTATAATCACATGTGAAGATATGTGAAACGTCGATGACGTTTTACCAACAGTATGACAATTCTGTTATTAATGCGAACAAAGAACTTACAGTTACGTCAGATAAAGCCTGTGAAGCCAGCTGAAAGCAAGAAAAATATGACAAGTTTTTTCACTGTAAATAGTGATCACAAAGTAATAACCCTATATCTTAATTTTAGAGAAGCCGCTATAGTAAACTATGGAGAAATAACACAAAAACTTCAAAATTTCCCGAAACGTAGGGGTTTTTCTCAAATATTCCCCTGAAATTGAAGTTTTCTAAAATTTCACGTAAGTTCGGATTTTTTTCTCGAAACGTAGAGGTTTTTCCCATAAATTTTACCAAACGTAGGGGTTTTACCCCGAAATTTCTGAACACGCTGTGTTTTTTTAGGGTCATCACCCATTAACCTAGTGACCATCGCCATCTGTTATACAAACAAGTTATTAACACTATGAACTGTAACTATAGAGCAGTAGGGAAGTTATCACTTAAAATTAGTACATACCTGTTCTTGTTTCCTTCGATTACGCTTGATCAACTTGTCTCTGACGTCATTGAAATAACCTTGTGTCGCGATGTCGTACAATTTCGCAAGGTCTTTTTCGTTGACAGATGATGACAAAAAGCGATTTGTTAATGCACCTGAAGTTTAAATAATAGATATAGTTTACTTCGTATGCAGCTGTAAAACCAGCATTTCTGAAGTGCTCGTTTTGAAGATGTGCCAAGTAGCGTAAAATGACTGGCAACCTCAGGTGTCATGAGGTACGACAAAACATCGCAGGATATATTGTAGGACATATTGTAGGATCATTAACCATTAACCTCGTTACCATGGCCATCTGTAACACGAACAAATCTGTCCCTGGTTTCTTTTTGTTGCAAACCAGTGTCCAGCATCTGCAGTTCCTTTCCCGATGACAAAGGGAACTGCTGATTTGATAGTGCGCAATCGAATTGATGATGTTCGCGTTCACTGAACTTCGCTAGTAGTAGCTTTACATTTTCATTCAAGTCAGTAATAACTGACGACATCGTCTGCATCATTGTATACAACCTATCAAATCTGAAAAACTCCACTTGATCGTACAGGTGACTTACTGAGCCGCTGAAGCAGTCTACATGCTTAGATCCTAATGTTAACGGTGATGTATCTAATCGTGTCGAACTACTTCATCAACATCTAAATAGTAATGAAACATACTTGTCGATTGACGAGGCGGCTCTGTCAAACAACCGAAATTTCGGATATTGTACGTGGATATTTCTAGCCTGCATTTCGGCCACATCCCTATCAACTGAATTGTAAAGAAATCCTTCTTTCCGCTTCAATGCACCTCTAAGAAGTGTTAGTAATATTATTGTACAGACCTCATTGATTTTTCAGTGTTTAACGGCAATGTGTTCTCTTTGGCTGACGTGTCCTTGCGATGCAGGTCCAGAGTTTGGAGGGACACCCCACTGCTGAACTTTGGTTGGACGTCATCAGATCCTATAACAAATGCATTCACGTATTCACTTTATATACATACCATTATTATCTAGAAGCCTTTGATTGCTGTAGCTAGTCGATGGTGTCACAGTTGAAGGACTCTCATTGCGAGTAATTTCTCTCTCCACTGCTGTCAATTAAACATGCACTACATAAAAAGTCAGTTACCTTTGACCGTGCTTTCATTAGCAAACTCACTCAATGAAAGCAAGTTATGTTTTTTCATGAAAGCTGTTCGTATTTTATTCCACCGTCTGTTATAAGTCGATCTATGACAACCAAGGACGCTTGACAAGTTAATAGTTGCCCTTCGTCTACGAGCTCTCTCAGTGACTTTAATGGACCTCATCTTATTGGACTAACAAGGTAATAAATTATAATGAACATAAAAAACGGAGAGCACGTCACTCACATGCATCACGTTAGTTATTTGTGTTGAGTACCAAGCAATTCCTAAACACTTTAGCTAAACAAAAATTAAAGTCAGTGTATATGCGTGTCAGCCTAATCACTGTGTCCGTATTTTGTTAATTGTTTTTATGACAATAGTGATGTTTCTTTAACAAGCGGTGAGTTCTTTTGTCGACGTTTATAAAAACATAAAAACTGGAGGCGACATATTCAACAACCGTACGTAACGTATTGTTGTCTACAAATATCCCCTAAATACACGACTTTGAGGAGAAAAAGCGATATTTCGGGTGAATTTATCCGCAACGCAACCATGTAAACTTAAAGTATCGCTCAGGGTCATCTGTGCGTTCAAGTAACCACAGATTTTGTCATTTCATAATGTATTTTTAACTAATAACTAGATTATGTTGTTAATTTTGCTCTGGTTATAATTTTTATTCGCCACATCTGACTGCGTTACACTGTACATTCATTGCACGCTGGGGTGATATCCGAAGTCATAGTGAGTTCAATCTCATAGTTGATTGTTTCCAGATAGACCGTCAGTGCATAATGTTACTGAAGGAAGGTTTGTTGTACTGCAAACTATATTTTTGTGAACAACTGACTGTTATCTTCAGTCTGAAAGCAATATATATATCCTTTGTCTTCTGTTAGGTAAGTTCGATTGGCCTATATTTCGTGTTTTGGTTTTATCGGCTGAATTATGTCCATTTAACTACCATGAGCAACATGTCCGTGCAAATAAAACAATAATTATGACACTTGCTTAGTTTAGTATTCTTGGTTGTCTTATAATAATTATGGTATACTTAAGTATATTGCTTGAAGCCTGTAATGAAACAGATCAGTTTAGTAAGTAGAGCCGCCTGTTTCTAATGTGTATACTGATTCAAATCAGTCTGACTAAAAATAGGAAAAAAGCCTTTGGTACTGTTGCTGTCATACATTATTTGATAGCTTTAAGTACGTTTGGTGTTTATTTCTAGACAGTACGTCTAACACTGTCCATGTTTGGAGACCACTGTCATTAAACGATTTCTCCAGCAATTTATTTATTTATTTATTTGAACACATAAATATTGGTACAAGAGGGCACCAAATATATATGCGCCACACTTTTTTTGGTGTGTGGGCTGAGATACTGCCCGGGTGCCCAGACCGAAGCAGGTGGTTTTCTTGGGGGGCCACACCCCGAGCCTTCGACCTAAAGGTCTAGTCCACAAGGCAGTGGAGCATCGTGAGGAGATGCAGTTCGGTGGTAGCCGGCGACCAAGAAATTGGTTCATACGCCATTCGTTCCCGCAGGACACTGGAGCCAGCCTATGTACACCATTGATTTGGGATCCGGTTAAAGCCGGTACCGGACATTCGCCTTTCGTCCTCTCATTTTCGTAAACAACACCCGTGATGCGAGAAGGCAGTGAGTAGGACTTCCCTGACAGAGGCTGTATATTCGTGGCCGTGTAAGAGCATTTGGAGGAGGGCGGGTCCACACCACTCTCGGCCATACCAATGCATTTAGGGACTTTCTCCAGCAATAACATCGGTAGCAGGATAGCTAAGTGCCTGAGCTTTTATTTGTCTGCAAAACAGTACAAACAGTATGCAGTCTTAGATGAGAAGTGTTCTGTCTTAATTAAATGCTGCTGGCTGTGGACATGTGTTAAGAGTCTTTTAGACAACTGGAACTTTTAGTTTACCAGATACTAAATCAACTTGTATGTCTTCCTGTAAAACCGAACGCAGATGCATGGGAATACTTAAGTGGGAGCAAAATAATAAAAGCTGTGCGATGCTGTACTTTGCACATGTTTTATTAGCTGGCGTAATCTGATATTTATGAAGTCGAGGTAAATCACAGCTGCATGAATTCTTTCCTTAGAAATATGTAATTTGTTTATTTACCTTTACAACATTCTTGACTAAATCCATTACTATCTTTTATTTAGAATGTAAGAGGAATGTGCCGTCACAGATCTTACAAAGTCATTCAGCTTTATAACTACGGCCCTATGAAACTTTGTGGGAGACCGAAGTAACAGTGGATTATTAAAAGCATATCGGACGTCCACTTTAGTCTCACAGCCACTTCCAGTGTTTTGGAGTTACTTCTTATACCCCGTCGTTTGAAAAGAAACAACTACTGCGACTTCATTTCACCAATGCTACAATGTAATTTGGAACCTGATGTAAATATTCGTTTCATATTCCATTGTTAATTAAAGTTCGTAAATAAATCTATAGACTTGATGCTATTTCGTTTTATCTAGTTAATCATTGTAAGAAACTGATGAAACGCGAGCCTCTCAGCACCTAGTTGATATGTAGTAATTTCAAGTTAAGACAGTTGACACAGTTACACATCCCAACAGTCCCTGCCTGTAATCTTAGTTTCTGATTGAAATACCATATGATAAGCAGGCAACGTAAACCCCAAAGTCCGGGCCTTCTTATAACCTATTTCAGCCGTCATGAGGTGTTGCAGTAGTAGGTTGATGGGTACGCGTTTAAGCCATAGTTGTTTATTGGGATGCCGTCGGATTTCCAATCAATACCTTAGCTACACTGACGGGTCACTAGTATCGTGAGGGTACGCGCTCGTCAAAACACAACTACAGGCCCATTGAATGTTTTCACCCTCTTATACCAAATATAACAAGAAACTCTGTATTTAGTGAATACAAAACTTTTATTTAATAAGGTATTAACAAAAACTGTCAACGCAGCAGACGCACATGACGAGATTTGTGTTCATTGATTATCTGAAATAGAGAGTACGAGTATTAGCTTAATAGATGCATTTATAAATACTTAGATTTCGGTTTCCAAAGAACCGATGGACTTGATCTATCAATTACCTTAGTGTGTCCTGCACCGTCGTCTGTCCAAAAAATGTACTGAGTGTGTGGATTTTACTTCGTAGAGTGCGATAAAGTCTGTTCGTGTCATTATAATCTGAAGACGGAATAGCTGGTATATTTCCATCTACATCTTAGACAGCCTGCCAAGTCCATTTGCAACAGAGCTTCAAAATTAAATCAACTACTTCATGATATAAAGATGAACATAACATACCTGTGAACTCTGGCATTTGTAGATGAGTAAAAACCATGTGCTTACATGGAATTCGACAGGTTTTAAATAAACGACAGATGCAAGTGCCGTTGCTTATATCCACTACCGGACATTGACGGCCGTCTTCGAAGAACACAAAGGGTGACTGGCTATTCTTGATGTACATCAGTCCCCTTTTTTATAGTCTTTAAGGACTATAAAGCCAGCATAGGTGGTTAGCTTGCTTAGTAGATGCATTAAGCAATCTTCAGCTACGTATCTGCGTTTGTGACTACAGTGTGAGCTGGATTGTAGTGACCTACGTTTGTCTAATTGCCTCTGCCATGTAAATGTCTTCCACATACATTTACTCAACGCGTCTCGGCTAGACAACTTTCTCTTCAGTTGTCTGTGCGCACTTTCAACCCGGTTGTTCGTGTTGTTACCCAACGTAACGACATTGCTATTGAAAGCTGAGGTCCAAGTTTCTTTCCTACTCATCCAGTTCTTGTTTAAGTAGGCTGCGATGCGTCTGCTGCGTACATTGATCATGCGACGTGTCTGATTAAACTTAGCTACTGTTTGTTCACGCACCAGTTGACATAAGTACTGCTTCTTCTTACACATAGCTCTACACACGTGGAAAGAGCATAGAACTATGTGGGCAGTACGGTGCGTTAATTCAACAGCGGATATGATGGACCTTGCACAACCCATCACAAACGTTTCCATTTGACTGGTTCCATTCATGATCTTTTTAAAATGATCCAGTATCCATACTACATCAACCTTCTTCTCTTCCTTGGTCCAAGCAAACATAACTGGGACCCCATGCCCGCAGTTATCTGTACAGACCAACTGAAAGAGTTCATAACTAAAGACAACTGGTACGCAGGAAAATTTTACTTACTATCCCCTTTTCGTGTTGTATGTTGAATCCGAACACAACTTCAGGGAACCGTTTGTACGTTACAATTTGCTCGTGTGTGCTAAATGCTATATTTGCGACCTGGTTAGCCACTACCCCATAAGAAACGAACAATTTTCGATTGTTCCATAAGGTTGCAGTTACATCGTTTAAACTTCCACTACCTAAAATCCGTAAATATATGGGATAAGCTTACGTTTGATAAATTTATATTTTAAATTATTGACATAATGCACTGTTATTGTCTTTTCGAAATTTTCTTCTGCTTACTTAGCAGTAGATTCACCACTACTTCCAGTCACAGCTGGCGCGCAATATTCAAAAAGGACAGTGGTATTTTTCCTCGCTGAGTAAATTCGATTGTTTTTATCGTTTATACGTATCAAAACTACTGTTTTCACTTTAATTGAGTTTCTTTCAGTTAAAGTATTTGATTAGAGTATCGTTTTTGATTCTAAAGTAGTTTGTTGTCAGTACTTTTTAGTACTCTGTTTCGCTATTGTATCTGTTAGTACTTTTGGTTCTAACGATCTACAGTTTCCCACTTTTCTTGGTCATAGATTATTTTTGTCTCTGAGTATTTTTGCATCCAGTTCTTTTAGAAAAACCGTGTTTTAATGACTGAACAGTGCAAAAAAATCAATTGCAAACGCACGGGCTGTCGTTATCCTGTTGAAAGCGGGATGCAGTGCGATAAGTGCAAAGGCTGGTACCACGAAGTTTGCACAAATTTAACGCCTGCGGCTTGCAAACGGTTCAGTAAGAATGGTTGCATATGGCTCTGTCAACAGTGCTGTTCGGATGCTAACAGCTTGCAAACCGAGGCCATCTCACTGGTTAGTGCTGCTAAAAAATGTCTTGGCAATAGTGGTCGCGACACATCAACAAGCACTCGCTCCGTTGACACGCAAATTGGCATGAGGAAAACTCAGGTGAGTTCGAAAACAGATGCCTCGCACCGACCAAAGGAGGGAGAACAGTCTCCAAAGCGTCCTGTCCCCACAATACTTCAAGGAAAA